ATGTATTTTTTAATGACAGGTATTTTATCATCTCTAGCCATTCAGGTTATAGGTGTGGGATCCTGTTTTATATGGCACCCTGCTACTGTGGAACTCTTATTTTAGCCGTTTGAGTTAGAAAGGCTTTGCCAAACAAAACAGTAGGAGGGAAACTGTAAAAAGGCTTTAAAATCCTAAAAAAAGAAATAAGTGATCAAGCAGCAATCTAAACATAAAGTAGAGGACTATTCCCATGACCTACGTTTGAGGAAAAAAATATAAGATGCAGAGAATTAATAGAATACCAATTTAGATCCACACACATTGTCCTTAAAAGTAGAAATTATTTCAACCAATATATATGTAAGCCGGTGTACTAAAATTATTGTCAAAAATCTCAGATGTTAAGTTAGACAAGTCTGACCTCAAAATTTTTTTTCTAAAATAAGAGAGTAATATAAAAATTCAAAAGAGAAATTTTAAAATGATCTGCTCAGACAAGCTTCCTGAAATCTAAAATCAAATTGCAAAAACAGAATATCCTCAATATTTGCCTTTGACAAACATTTAATTTGTTGTATAGTAAGTGACTGATACAACTTTGGAAGATAAATTTCATCTCTGTCTTGGATTCAGGCACATTGATCTTTTACAAGTATGTGATTGATTTAAACCACTTAAAAATTGGAATGTATATAACTAGATGAGTATTAAAGTAGAATATATAACATAGTCTTTAGTATTTGAAAGGCAAAATATCTTCAATTATTCAACTTGGGCTCAACTCAATATTGTAAGTATACACATACTTCAATCTTCAGAATAAAGGCTAGTCATCAGAAAAGGCTCGTATGAACCCCTCGTATGAACTTGTATGAACCCCTCGTATGAACTTGTATGAACCCCTTGTATGAACTTGTATGAACCCCAAGAACTGTCCGTCAGTTTGTCTGCTAGTTAGGCATTCCCTTAAATAACAGTAGTGAGCACTGGTAAGGAGTCAGGTGCTCTGGACTATGGGCATTCACACTCAGGGACCATTTACGTGCCTTAAAATCTCCAACATTCCGGTATTGCAGGCATTGCTGCTGGGATTTCCAAGGTTTAGAGAGGTTAAGTCACTTATTCAAGTTCAAGGCAGAATGTGAACAGGGACACAGTTTTAGAAGCACTTCCTGTCACCACAGCTGTACTCAAAAGCTATTTGGGGGAATTCAGTCGCTTATTCAATAATACTTTGAGCCTAGGAAGAGTTCATTAAATTTCAGTAGGTTAAGCCCTAAATTCAACTCGGGAACAAACCTAGAATAAATCATATCATTTTATAGTTCCATCACATGTATCTACTTAATGTGAGGTCAGAAGGCATTTTCCAATTACTTCTCACAAAGGGACTGCCTTTTTTTTTTCTTCTGTCCATCTTTTCTCTTAACTAGCTATGCAAGAAGTATAGCCTTCTGAAAAGGATTTCCACCTTATCCTTCTAAATTTCACTGGGTATGTCCTAAGTCAGTTTTAAAAAATCTATCATCAATTTCCACTCTTGCATAATACTAGAATGTGGCCATGAACATTACTATAGGAAAGACTATTTTGTAGGCAGCTTTATAACACCACTGGGGAAACAAAAAGGAATTTTGAAGAGGGCTAGCCACATTTAGTACCTGAAATATAACTTTGGTTGGTCAATATTCATCAAATAATATTAGCAAAATCTATTCTCTTTCCTAACACTAATTCTAAAGTTATACAAGCCTATTCAGTTTCTCTCCAGCAATCATCAAATATGTGAAATTAGCAAAGACTGTATTAAAGACAGAAGTAACTTTATGAAGATATAAATATAATAAAAATGTCTAGAACTCCCTTAAAATTAATGGTGGCTAGTGAAATAATAGCTAGCATTTTACAAATTGACAATTTCAAGGAAATATAACTAGCCTAGTCAAACTAGTAGTGTTTTCCTAAAAAATAATTTTGTGACCTTCATTATACAGGACCAAATACATGAACAAAGTCAGAATTAGTTGCCCATACCAGAGAATTGAAAGTAATATGGTATTGTTCTCTCAGACTGATTGATTTATTTTTATTTTACAGTTATTTATTGAGCACTTACTTACCATGTACTAAGAAATAGGTATACAGTGATAAGCAGAAGATAAAAGATACATGATCACTACTTTTATAATATTTATGGTATAGGTAGTGGCTAATCAAAACAAAATACACACATACACACACACACACACACACACACAGAGTAAACAGTGACAATGGGATAGAGAAAATTAGTTTCTTTTGAGGATAAATAAAAGTAACTCTCTGTGAAAGGTGACATATTGCTACTATTCTTAATCCTATTGTGGCTTCTGTTACTTCAAATGTAATACAATTAAAAAGCCTTTAATGTTTTAAGCCTTTTTATCTAATTGAGTTCCAACTGCAGAGAAATGCAGAAATACGGATATACATAAGCAAGTATAGGTAAAGTGCTATATGGACAGAGGCAGGACATGTAAATAGAGGACAAGAAACAGTTTAGTTTAGCAGTAGCTTCCACAAAGTAATACAGTTAACGCTAAGAAGGAAAAAAAAAATGGGCCAGGAATAGACTATCTTGAATACCCAATCAAATTTCCAGGCTTTGTCAATTCTAAGTTCATTAAAGAACTTACAATGTGACTTTTTGGCCTAAAGACAGAAATGTCATTTGACCTACCAATCCCATCACTGGGTATATACCCAAAGGAATATAAATAATTCTATCATAAAGACACATGCATGTAAATGTTAATTGCAGCACTATTCACAATAGTAAAGATGTGTAATCAGCCCAAATGCCCGTAAATGGGAGACTGTATAAAGATAACGTAGTACATATATACTGTGGGATACTGTGCAGCCATAAAAAGAATGAGGTCATGTCCTTTGCAGGGATATGGATGAAGCTGGAGGCCGTTATCGAACATATTATCTAGCACATTAACTAACACAGGAACAGAAAACCAAATACTGCATGTTCTCACATACAAGTGGGAGGTAAATGATGAGGACACATGGACACATAGAGGGGAACAACACACACTGGAGCCTATCGAAGAGTTGAAGGTGGGAGGAGGAGAGGATAAGGAAAAATAACTAAAGGATACTAGGCTTAAGACCTAAGTGATGAAATAATCTGTACAACAAAATCCCATGACAGATGTTTGTTTACCTGAGTAACAAACCTGCACTTGCAACCAAGAAGTGAAAGAAAGAAAGAAAGAAAGAAAGAAAGAAAGAAAGAAAGAAAGAAAGAAAGAAAGAAAGAAAGAAGAAAAGAAAAGAAAAGAAAGAAAGAAGGAGGAGGAGGAGGTGGAGGAGGAGGAAAGGAAGGAGGAAAGGAAGGGAGGGAAGGAGGAAGAAAGGAAGGAAGGAAGGAAGGAAGGAAGGAAGAAGAAGGGAGGAAAGAAGGGACTGTGAAAGCTGATAATTCTGGAAGATTATTTTACAAGGAAAGTATAACGAATGGAGAAACAGTGCTTATAAATACCATTTAAGCGACTACTACAATGATTATTTAATGAGGGTCTGGATCACTAACATATCAATGGGACTGAAAAGAAGACACAAGTATAGGCCATATTGAAGAAGAAGACATTTCATACATCAGTAACTGTTATGGACTGAATGTTTGCACCTCCTCAAAATTCATATGTTGAAATCCTAACCTGTAATGTGATGGTATTAAAAGGAAGGGTCTTTGGGAGATAACTAGGTGATGGGAGTGGAGCCCTCATAAATGGCATTAGTAACATGATAAGGAGAGACATGGGTGTGCTCCCTGTCTCTGCTCTCCACCATATGAAGATAGAATGAGAAGATGGCCATCTGCAAATAAGGAAGTAGGTGTTTACCAGACACCGGATCTGCCAGCACCTAAATGTTGGACTTCCCAGCCTCCATAACTGTGAGAAATAATTCTCCTGCTGTTTAAGTCACACAGTCTATGCTATTCTGTTACAGTATCCCTAACTGAATACGACAGTAACAGGATACAAAGTCAGCTCTTAAAATCCAGGATTTTGAAGGAAAGAGTTGCACTCCTGGCATAAAGCAGGATGGACAACAAATTTGATTTTGTGACTGTTGGTGTTGGAAAGAGAGCCAAAGAAAAGAAGATAGGCAGAGAAAAGCACTGAAAACAGAATCTTAGGGGAACCTTCAACTAAGAGGTCATGAAAGATGTCAGAGATGACAGAGAAAGAGCAATTGGGGAAATAACTGATTCATTAGAATAGAGAATAATGGAAACCAAGGAAATGATATCAGGAGTAGTCAGTGAAACCAAGTGCTGTGGAGAAATTAAGGGATCCAAGGACTGAGAACAGACACTGGAATAGGAAGAGAGAGTGTTTTACTGGTGCTGATTTTCAAAGATCAGAGTCAAGTCTCAGAAGTGATGACTGCTGCCATATGCCTGAAAACCCTAGAAAAAGCTCTCTCATCTTGTCATCTTTCAAGGCAAAATTCCAGATGACTTTCTGCTTTATCTTCAATGATGTATTTGATGATGTATCCCTCTAGCAAATACAAGTGTCAAAAAAAGCAAAGTAAAAGGAGTACGTGTCTCCATTTCTCACTCTTTAATATGGGATTCTAGAAGGAAGCTATCAGGCTACTTATCATCATTTGCCTCTAACAGACAAAATGACTAATGCATTTGGAGATGTTCAGATTATTTAGAAAGTCAGCCATAAGATGATAAAGAGAGGGCAGACCCCCTAAAATGCTATTTAACAGCCTTGTCCCCTATTCATTATATTGAACCATACTCACACAGGCTTAGTATAAAGTTCTAAGTAACTTTTAGGACTTCATCAAAGGGTTTTTATTTAATCATAAAACAGTCCACAAGCTAATATTTTGTAAGAATATGAAAAATTAGTAATGATATCAAGTTAATATCACAGTATTTACCAAATAATTTTTGGTGAGGTTGAATTAGGATCTAATTAAGAAATTGTGGGTTTACATACCTGTGGTACCCATCTGGAAGACACAAAGCTAGTCACTTCTATTACAGACAAGCCAGTTTGGGAAAGTCGATTGATAAATTCAATTTTTGTATCTGTAGGAACTATAACCTATGAAAACAAAAAATATTTTACAAGTAAATTATATAGGGTCTACCGAAGCACAAATAGAAAATTACTTCCTAAGTCAAAGTGAGTATTATTTGTAATTTATACATTCAAGTAGCAATTAAGAAAAGATATATAATCGTGTAACATGTGAAATCCACGTAAATCTTTACAATCTTAAATCTATTAATATTTAGACAGCATTTGAAGTAAATGATATAAAACTACCTTTTCATTCTGCAATCCATCCCTAGGCCCAACTTCTACTATTTTAACAAACTCAGGGAGTCCAGATAACTGGGATGTTTCCTGAAATGCAAAACGTAAGAACAAGAAAACATAACTTTTAGATTGCTACACTTGCTTATTTGAAAAGTTAAACAACTGCACTTTGTTATACTCTTACCCTAGAGAATTAAAATAGTGAAAAATCAATAAAATGATATGAAAATGCACTATTTATATTACTGGCAACATGAAGTATTTTTGCCTTATAACCAAATGATATTTAGTCTAGTTATGATTAAAATTCAAAAGATTAATTTATAAAATATAATTGAAGAATAATTGATTTACTCAGGACCTAAAGAGCAAATCTGTTGGGTGAGTCTGTGTATGACGATAAACTAACTACTGTTAGAGTTCATTTAAAAATTACATCTTGGCCAGGCACGGTGGCTCACGCCTGTAATCCCAGCACATTGGGAGACTGAGGTGGGCAGATCATGAGGTCAGGAGTTTGAGACCAGCCTGGCCAACATAGTGTAACCCTGTCTCTACTAAAAATACGATAAATTAACTGGGGAAGGTGGCAGGCACCTATAATCCCAGCTATTTGGGAGACTGAGGCAGAAGAGTCACTTGAACCCAGGAGGCAGAGGTTGCAGTGAACTGAGGTTGCGCCATTGCACTCTAGCCCAGGCAACAGTGCGAAACTCCGTCTCAAACAACAACAACAACAACAACAACAACAAAAATATATATATATATACACACACACACACACACACATAGAAAGATAGATTTAGATAGATAGAGAGATAGATAGAGAGATAGATAGATATTTACATCTTAATTTCTCTTAATTACATCTTAAGCTGGGCGCAGTGGCTCACGCCTGTAATCCCAGCATTTTGGAAGGCCAAGGCATATGGATTGCTTGAGCCCAGGAGTTTGAGACCAGCCTGGGCAATATAGTCAAATCTCATCTCTCTTAAAAAAAAAAAAATACAAAAATTAGCCAGGCATGGTGGTGGTGTATCCTGTAGTCCCAGCTACTCTACTTGAGAGTCTGAGGTGGGAAGATTACTTGAGTCCAAGAGATCAAGGCTGCAGTGAGCAGTGATTGTGCCACTGCATTCCAGCCTGGGTGACACAATAAGACCCTGTCTAAATAAATAAATAAATAAATACCTCTTTAAGTTAAAAGACTACTTCTACTTCCATGAAGAGGTATACAGGATGCCACCCTCTATACTTTGAACTTGAACATGAATTTGATTTTGGGAATTGGGCCCAGAAAACTGAGGCTAGAAAAGACAATGTGCTGCTTACTTTTTCTCTAGGTCACACAGCACAGTTACCACCTAAGTGTTGCTCCCTGAAAGACAGACCCACCCCTTGTGGAACCTATACCACAATAACCCGCTGGGAGCAGCCTAGCTCCAGCCAAATGTAGCAACCCCTTGTTCTACCTTTTGCTAAAATCTGAGATGGTAAATGGTCTGGTTTCTGAAACCTCTGCCCCTACACTAGGTACTATGGATCTAGTTTAGAAGATATATTTGCCTTCTAAATATGCCCATTTAGAAGGCTGTTATTTAAAACAGGGGGAAAATGAAAGAGCCTTTGAAATTGTATATTGCAGTTAAAGTCAGAAGCATACTCCATCTTTTCAGACTGTACCAACATAATCTCTTGGTACCTCTGAGCCAAGTTAAGTTTGGGTAACCCATCATCAAGTTCTTTAAGTGGATAGTTGACAGAATCAGCCAGGAACCACAGAATCTGTACTTTAGAGGTTTTTGTTTGCTTGTTTTTGTCTTTTATCAGGAATGATGAATCCAAGCCAACCAGTTTATATTGTCACACTCTGTCCTTGTAAAAATTACAGCATATATGGGCAAGGTGGCTGTTTTGAATGCAGAACCAAATTCAAGTCTGTGGAACAAAAAATATTAAAAGGCCATTTTTAGGGCCCAGAGCTGTTACAGGTTTTATCAGCATTCTGAGCTCTCAGCAAGAGAATCTAAATGGTCCCCTTTACAATGTTTACAGACCACTCTGCACAATTTCCATGAAATTAGTCAATTCAATAAGCAAAAGAAGCAATCTAGAAGAAAAAGAATTTTCTTTTCTGCATTTTCTGTGCAGGTTGTGATGCATGAAGTTAACTTGAGAGAGTGGAGGGATGAGAGGAAGGCCTGGGGTTCCTCAGCTTTAGACTCCATTTGGATGACAAAATGAAATCATGCCTAATTTACAAAGTGTCTATAATTTCAACTGAACAATAAATAAAAGGTATGACATGGGAAGGTGAATAAGAAAAGCTCACTCCTCCTTCTTCTTATTTCTAGTCTTCAGTTGGCAAGAATGAAACAAAAACAAAACTAGGCAATCTTAAGCCATATGGTCTCATTAGCACTGATTGTTTCTTGAAACTGCATTTCAACAACAGTTAGCTTGGCACATACATGGAAGAAGAGTTCTCTTTTCCTCAATGACAATATTTGCCAAAAAAAGAAAAAGAAAAAACATAATGTTTTTTAAGGTACTAACCATATGCCTCCTAAATACAGTTGAAGAACTGAAGACCTTTCTTTGCATCAATGTGTGTAGCTGGCATTATTAACAAGTAATCTGAATAAATTAAATTACAGATCATTAACAATTATGGCCATTTCAATCAAAGCAGAATATGTGTTCACTTGATATTGTTTTTGAATCTAATGTTACTATTTAATCTTTCGAGTCTATCTGAATTAAGCCAGTGACAGAAGTGACAGAAGAAATCATCCAATGTGATCAACAAGTAATTATTGAGCACAGTCCATATGTCACGCATTGGGCTGGGGCTGGGATATGCCAAAGTAGAACCAGTAATAAACAGTCCAATTATATATAAGAAGAAGGTAAGGAACAGCATGTAGTGGGGAATATCTGGGGAGAGGTATGTTCTGGTGGGGAGATAATTAGCTTATTTTTGAATTATTGAATTCTCCATGCTTGTATAACATTTAGTTGGATTTGCCTACTAGGCATTGTTTGTGCATATCTAAGCTCATTAGAAAAAAAAAAGTCAATACAGAGATAGTAATGCTTAGGAAGAGACTAAAGATCACTAAGAGAGGGCTCTCAAATCACACATAGTCAACACGTATGAAAGACAACCCATTTAAAAATGAGAAACTAGAGGAGGACCAGGTAACACCAGCACATGCAGTGGGTCACACTGCAGGAGCTGCACTTGGGGAACCTCAATTTCATAATGGGCTATAGGCATACATGCCCTTTACCTTAGAGGGAGATACTATTTCTCTTTCTATGGCTGTTTGCTAGACAAACATTCTTAAAAACAATATTCTCAAAGAAAGGCAATCAGTGCCTTGCTAATAAAACATGCAGATATGCCAGGGTTCCATAAAAATTGTTTCTCAATAATATTATTACCTCCATTAATACCCAATTATTTTCTTCAACAAAATTCTTATTGATTATCCGAGATTCAATTTGTCATCTACTCAAGAGACTTCTGGCTTCCCCAGATGGAATTAAGTTATTTTATTTCTATATTTTCATAACATTTTGTAGAAGGCTATTTTAAAGCATATCTATGAGTACTTATTTGCTTGCCTGTTTCTCCTTTTTTAAAACCCTCAGAGTTATCAAAATGGATACATAATAGGCACTTGGTTTATGTTTATTAAATGAATGACTAAATGAATGAATAAACTCACATCTAAAATTTAGACAAGTAAAATTGACCTTTCTTTTAGCTAACACATGCTAAGTAACATTATTATAGTGGTTGGGTATAGGAGGTGAATCATTCAACAAAAACTCCTGCCCATGACAGTTTAGTGCTATAGAGATCTGGAAGCAGCAGTGAGGCAGGGATGGGAAGGGACACTTTTCTTACACACTGAATATATGAAAATTAACCAATCACTTGTAAGTTACAAGGAATTGTGTTGTGTTTTAATGTAGTCTGGAGAAGTTAGAAATGTACTCCTTAAACAGGCCAATAGTCTAAAATTTATTTTTATAGCACTTAACATCCTACGTTACAGAGCTCAGTGTATCCTGTTTAATGTGCAGTATAGTATATGATACTAGCGAAAAAACAGAAGATGTTTTATCCAGAGTGAATGTTTCAAAAGGCTATGTTTTATGGCTGAGTGTATGCCCACGTTTGGCATCAGATTTCTAATGGTTCACTTTCATGGAGTAACAACAAAAGAAACACTATCTTGAATTTATGTTACTTTACTTTTCCAAAGAACTTTTCTATCAATGTTTCATCTGTGAAGCAACTCTGTGAGGCAGGCAGACCTGAAAGAGAGATTAAATGACTTCCTAAGTTTACCCAGCTAAGCTCCCTGGCTCTTATTCTAGTTTTCTTTAGGTTAAGATTAAATACTTCACCAACTATTGAGTTATGGTTGAAGAAAATAATAATGAATTATTCTTTTATACAGAACATAAGTAATGTGCTTCACTCACATTTTTCAATCTTACATAAAATTAAATGGAAGGCATATTTTGATGGAGATTTCTCTGAAATCTTTAGAGTGTGTGTGGGTGTATGACAGTGTGTGTAGGCTTGTGTGTGTAACATACACATTTCTCAGCAGTAATAATGGATGACTTCTATATATACAATCAACCCTTCTAATGGTGATAGATATGATTGCTTATTAGTCACCCTGAAAGGACTGCTTTTTTTCCCTAGGAAAATAACATCATCTATAGTAGAAATTTCTGGACAGATTTGCTTATGTTTCATGCACTTCATTTCTTAAGGAGTATTATTTCGTGTAAATAAGGTCTTTATGAATATTGAAATATTCTGTTTCATAGCCAGTATTCCCAAGAACTGCTATGATGTTCCAATCAAATGTCCCCATTACACAGATGAGAGGGCTGAATCTGGAAATTGTGTGACTTTCTTTCAAAATTAAATTAGGCTTTCTAAGGGGGCATTAGAGATCGGCTTTTACAAGAGAATCTATTTTTGTTGTCTCATTTGAAATATGCACATGGTGCATTTTGTAGTAATGTTAAACTCTCCACATTCTGCTATTTGTTGCTTCTTAATCAAATATAATGAGAAACACAAACTATTATCAGTTATATAGCAGATATCCATAGAAACCTGGGTCCTCCAGAGCGATCAAAAGACATTTCTCTTCCTGGGTATCTCTCTAGAATGGAAGGTTGACTCAACAAAGCTGACAGTGAAACCGTTCTTTCAGAATACCTATGTGCCATTGTTGATTCACAGGCAATTTTGGCAGTTTAATAAGAATTTATTTGTAACCATATGAAAATAAGTTTGTAATGTACTATTATGTCATCTAAGACTCAATCAACAACATGTTTTAATTTACTAAATCAAAAAGTAAAGGAAGGTATCTGCTTACTGTTTAGCAGTATTTGGACAGCCAGAAGAGAAGTGGAGAGTTGTGCTGTACTTGTTTTTCAACAGTCTTCAGTAAAAAGCTTTAGAAGAGATTAAAAACAAGCTCTAGAAATGACAAAAGCCCTCTCTGTATACGTATACTAATATGAACTCTTGGAACTCAATGGAAAATCAGTGCAGAGTATCAGTGTAGATATACAGCACAACTAAATACAAATTTCTTCTGGAAATATATACATTTCATGAACACTTGAATCAATCAAGAGTAGTTACAAAAAAGCAAAAGAAAATTATACGAGGGGCATTTGCCACATATGACAGACTGAAATGTAGTAGAAAGATGGACAAGATCATCTAAAATTGTTTATTCAAATTTTTAAAATGAGGTTTTTAGCATATTTACCATATCTGTTCACTTACTAGTTAAATAAATTCAATTTCTTAAAAAGTAGCTTGAGCAATAAATGCATGCAGGTGTTTAATATTCATCAATTATTGTTTTAATGTAAAACAACTATATTATTAAAAAAACAATGAAAGATGAAAATAGAAAATATAAGTAGATTAAAATAGATGATATTAAGTAGATTAGAGAATATTAAATAATAGAGAAAATGGAGAATATTAAGTTTATAAAACATGGATAGTAATAAAATAATAGAAAAAACAAAAATGAGACAAAGTACATGTAAAAAGAAAAAATCAAAGAAATCAAGAATAGGAATTTTAATGCAGGAATTTAATAAAGCATTAAAATAATTCAAAACAGAAAAATTTCTATGAATTGACAGAGCATGAGATGCTGTGAACATAATAATGCTTCTTTAAATGGTGGCTGTTATTTACATTATTTAGTTTTAATAAATAAAATTATTTATTATTGTATTCATGGCAGCTTAACATTGAAATAAAATAAACTGAAAAATAGCCAACATGACCTATAGGTATTTCATTACAATTACAATCATTATTGCTACATTGAAGGTTTAGATAGTAGTAAACGTGTTACTTTGAAAATCAAAAGGAAATGTTTGACTTCAAATATTTTATATAGAAAATTTCCTCTCCTTAGTGTCTTCACCAACAAAATTTGTTTGATCTCACATTCTCCCATCTTGCAGTCAGTCCCAACATTTATTTTGAAAACTACTAAAATTGTTTTTGCCTTTTGCAAATACAGGGGTGTGTGTGTGTGTGTGTGTGTGTGTGTGTGTGTGTGTATGTCTGTGTGTATTCGGTAAAGCTTAATTTTCTGGGCTAAAATTGTGATATGCCAAGTTTCTTCATGGTAATATTTTCTGGGATGAGACATTTCTGAAAATAGTGGTTTATAATAGAAAAAAAACTATTCATATTAAGCCGGTTATACCAGCAGCATGTCCTGATAGTCACAAAGTTGAAGGAAACTATTAAAATGCATAAATTGTCAGAGTTTTCAAGTTCAGACTCCTAAGATGGTACAGCAGTGTTAGCTGAGGACAGTTGGTTTAATATTTGGCTATGAAGACATAATTCATCATTCTAAATAGTTATTTAAATTGGGGCTGTTATTATTATTTACAAAAAGCAATTAAATTTCTTTACATAATTTTTGGTTACGCCATGTTGGTTATATAATAATGACAAGCTGGGAAATCACATCAGTGACGTGTTATAAGTTTTTGACTTTGTAATGCACTCTATTAAGCAGTCATCCACACAGTCATCAACCCAAATCCATTCAAACTTCAAATAAAATTTTTCAGATATTAATGAAGCTTTCATCAAAATACAGCTTTATGTAATGTTTCCTTTCTGATTGGCAAAAACAAAAATGAGCATTTGCATGATTACGGACACACAACAAAAATTCTCAGAAACCAACAATCTTTAGTCCCTTATACTTCTTGATATGTAAACAGTGTTTTATATTTGTTGGAGCCAAATTATTGAGTGATAAAGGTGGCAGAAGGGGTTGAGAGAAATGTTACCATATCCTAGTGAAGTTAGGTGAAATCTATACCTTTGGACATTTTTATTTATATGATTAATAGATTATAGTGGATGTTGTGACATGCTGCTCAGGTATGCCTAGGACAGAGGAATTCTCAGAAACTAAAGTTTTGGCAGCTGATGGCATTTCACTGAGCCCCTTTTCTGTAACTGCCCTCAGCTACAGCGCCACTTTATTCAAGGTCATGTGCCCATCCTAACTGGAAGGGCCATACCAGCTCCTGGGATCCCTGTGTAACTGACTGAAGCCTCTGTTGTGACTACATCATAGTTCAACTTCTTCTTCCACCTAGTTTTATATCCTTTACTTCCCCACAGTTATTGAATCCAAAGGCAATAACATTCTGCAAACAAATCCTTGTCCAGGAGACTGTTCCCAGGGAACCAGACCTAAGAAAATTAGTGCCAGGAGTGAGCTGAGGAAGTGGTCTCTAAAATGGGATTTGGGAGCTACATCAGTTGCTGGTTAATTTTCAGTTAGTTCATATTCTTCGAAGTAGGTGGGATATTGCTACTCCCTGGTAACCAGCAGCAGTCTAATTGTTAAAATATTTGCTAGTTCTCATTCAGGACAATTTTGCACCCCAAGGGACATCTGGCAATGTCTGGAGAAATTGCTGGTGGTCAAAATTGCTGGGCACTGCTGGCATCTAGTAGGGTAAAAATCTTACAATGCACAAGACAGGACTCCACAACAAAGAAGACATCCAAAATCCATAGTGTTAAGGTTAAGCCATCCTGACCTCAACAATACAAATTAATGAAGGATATAGTTCATCAATTAGTTTTGGTTAGCTACTTCAATGTAAAAGTCAGGATCCCTTGCCTAGTCTATATATCTTAGCCAATTTTCAGATGAAAAAAAAAAAAAAAACACAACATGACTGAAGAAGCAGCCAGATGTTTATGATGAGGACCTTGTAATACTAAGAGAACTATATAAAGTAATTCATATAATCTTTCCCCAAAGAGATCTATAGCCATTCATTTGAGTAAATTTACACTGGGTAAAGAAGAATACCAAAAATTTCAGATTCTTAGATACAAGGTTCAATTTGACAATGATACTTGGAGACCCAAAGCATCATTATATCCCCCTTGTTAAAATGAGAAATACAAGGGCCACATAATAAGTGGAGTCCTGGGTCCTTATTCCCTGTGGTTATTTCTCAGTCCCTGAGTATATAATTGGAAACAACATATTTAGTATTAGGAACAGCCCTTACTGCTTATTGGTTCCTTGACTTGTAATGTAGGAGCTACTGTAACAATGAAGGGCAAGTAGGAGCTTCTGAAATCTCTCCCTCCTCTCCTTCAGATGAAATAGTAAAAAAAGAAAAAGAAGAGGAAGGGGAAGTAGGGAGAGGAGAAGAAGAAAGCATATTAGGAGAAACAGTAGAGATTATTACCATCCTCAAGCATCCTAAGAAAGTAAAAGATATAGGGGTGATGGCCTCATCATGAACCCCCTCTAATCACCAGTACAGCCTCTACCCAAACCAGAAAGATGTTATGATTTTAGGGGATGACACTAAGCTACTATAAAGTAAACCCCAATTATAGCTTCTGTGACAGTTGCAGTATTTTTGCAAAAGCAAATTAACACTGCCTTATTTAAATTATATGCAGCCTCCAGTGGATGAATGCTTTCTTTTCTATACCTGAAAGAAAAAACAGCATTAAAATTCCAATTTGCTTGGGAGAGAAAACAATGGATTTTATAGAATTCTCTCATTGCTCTATTCACTCACCTATTGTCTGTCATATTTCAAAAGGACCTGCAATAGCTGGACATTCTGCAGAACATCACATTGATCCACTCTATCAAGACTAGTTAATCAAAGTTCTAACTATATGAAAGGAAACTCAATTAAAATGAATTAGTAAATCATAAAAGTAATTTAAGGGGCCTTTTAAAAAATGCAGGGATCCAAAAACACACACACACACACACAGAAGAAAAATGATTGCTGAATACTCATTACAGAATCTAAAGTGCCAAATAGACAAACCTATAGTGATCTATCTCTGTAGGGCATATGCATGTAGTGTAGAGATTTAAAATCCTAAACATGAATGCTACCAGTCCTCCATTTCAGACTCAGAGCAGACAAGAGTAATTCAATATGGCAGTTTTTCACAATGAGTACAGGTGCATCTTCTAGGCTTTCTCAGTAGAACTAACTACTCCAGTATCTGCTATCCAGGTAGAAACTACTACCTAAATTCAGGTATCTACCACCAATGATTGACTCTATTCTGCAAGAAAAAAATCAATTTTCCATCCCTGGTATAATGAAAAATTCTATTACCACTCTGTACTTCATTTATTCATCTATAAAAAAGGGAGGTTACAATAGCTAAAAAGAGTTGTGGCAAAGTCACACACAGTGCTATATGTATATATGTGATGACCATTATGCAAATAATAGGTGCAGAAAATTGTTTTTGTTCATTTATTCATCCACTTACTACTGACTGGACATTTAACATGTGTAAGACCCTGTGCTAGAACTTGGTCAAAGAAAGCCTATTTGGATACAGAGATTAATTTTGAAGGAGATACCTTAGTTAAAATATTCCTAAAATAAAGCGTTAGTTTATTTAGCAGCTTTGTTTCCAATAGCTCTACTGAAGCAAATCTTAGATAGGTTTGAAAAATGATGTTACGGGCTGGGTGTGGTGGCTCACACCTGTCATCCCAACAATTTGGGAGGCCAAGGCGGGCAGATCACCTGAGGTCAAGAGTTCGAGACCAGCCTGGTTAACACGGTGAAACCCCATTTCTACTAAAAATACGAAAAATTAGCCGGTCGTGGTGGTGCATGTCTGTAATCCCAGCTACTCAGGAGGCTTAGGCAGGAGAATCAATTGAATCTGGGAGGAGGAGGTTGCAGTGAGCCGAGATCGCACCATTGCACTCCAGCCTGGACAACAAGAGCGAAATTCCATCTCTCTTTCTGTCTCTTTCTTTCTGTGTCTCTCTGTCTCTCTCTTTATATATACACATATATATGTGTGTATGTATATATATGTGTGTGTGTATATATACACATATGTGTGTGCGTGCATATACACATATATACATATATACACACACACACGCAAATATATATATGTAATTAGCCGAGTGTGGTGGTGCATGCCTATAATCCCAGCTACTCGGGAGGCTGAGGCAGGAGAATCGCTTGAACCCAGGAGGCGGAAGTTATGGTGAGTCTAAATCAGGCCACCGCACTCCAGCTTGGGTGACAGAGGGAGACTCCATCTCAAAAGAAAAAGAAACCAAAACATGATGGTATAGCAGGGCATCCAGAGTGGTGATGAAAAACTCTAGAGACAAACAACCTGACTCTACCATGCACTGATGAAAAAACACAAGAAAATAATTTAGTCTTCCTCACTCTCCTCTGTTAAAAGTGGGAATCGTAATAGCACTTAGCCCACAAGTCTGTTTTAAGGATTAAATGAGAATGTGTATACAAAGCATTTAGCACGGTGTTCAATGAAGAGTTAATACTTCATCTATGTTTGTCGCTTCCCTTTTTGCAAGGCTAACTTGAAGACATGGGACTTTTTTTCTGGTATTTTGCAAAAAGGGTAGCTTAAATTGTTCCATTTATCATTGTAAAATATAACTGCTTGTTTAAAATTTGCAATGAAAGGAATCATTGTTGATAGTAGAGCAGATTACCTTACACAGTTCTTGCCACAATCAAAATAATACCTGGAAATTATTCAAGTTCTTTCAGCAAGGAGCTCAAAACACTTTGGAGACATTATCCCATTTTGGAACCTGCCAACAATTTTATCCACTTCCAGTGCTGACAACATCAACTCCACCCATCCTGTTCCACTTGGCAATGTCAACCTCAGTTTGAACCTTTGAGGGGCAACAGAGGGGCACTCACTTCAACATGAGGATAAATGAGAGCTCATATTCAAAACCTGGTTCAATAATGCCATAAGTGAATACGGGGGGCACAGATAGTTACTTGCTAGAAATGTTTATATGGAAAAAATGCTAATGTAAAAAGCAAATTAAATACATTAATAATTCTGATTGGCATCATATGCTTAGAGGCAAGAGTATCAAAAAAGTCGTATCTTCTTCACAAGCTAGGCTTTAATTTCTTCTTTCACCCCAGGGAGTTTCTTTTTAACTTCAAAACATAGTTTTGGGTTATAAAAAGATCTAAAAATTTAGGCCAGCCGCGCGGGTGGCTCAAGCCTGTAATCCCAGATTTGGGAGGACCGAGGCGGTGGATCACGAGGTCATGAGATTGAGACCATCCTGGCCACATGGTGAAACCCCGTCTCTACTAAAAAATACAAAAACATCTAGCCGGGCGTGGTGGTGGGCGCCTGTAGTCCCCAGCTTCTCGGGAGGCTGACGAGGAAATGGCGTGAACCCGGGAGGGCGAGCTTGCAGTGAGCCGAGATCACGTGCCGCTGCACTCCAGCCCTGGGCGACAGAGCAAGACCTCCGTCCTCAAAAAAAAAAAAAAAAAAAAATCTAAAAATTTTTAACTGCATGATCTTCTTGCAGAATATGGAGCTGGCAGATGAATAGTTAGACACTGACATCACAGGATAAGGTTTGAGTTGACCTGCACCCTCAAGCAAAAGAGACTTCACGATTCCTTTAAGCAACCCAGTTATTCATTTATTCATCATTCTTGGGGCATACTAGTGATTCTAATTGCCACTATAGTTAATGCAATGAAAACACTCGATCTCAAAGTGTATCAGAATTTTCAGAAACCATAATATTTGGGACATTCAAATTACAAGGGCAATGAAATATACTGAGAACAATCCAAGCAGTAGAGGGGGACTTAGGCATTTTGAGGAAGCTATGCCAATACACAGGACCCCGTTAGGCACCACGGCCAGGGTAGGGGTCCTTCTTGCCCAGGTTTAAGGGGTTTGTTCTAAAACGGATCCTTAATCCATTCCTCTACATTCTGTCCTCCTACAGACTTCCTGTTCTTTGGAAATACACATGAACTCATCTTTGATCCTCTCTTCTTCTCATATCCTATATCAGATCTATCAGCAGATCATGTTCTGTCTTTAAAATAATTATTTCTTACTTGGATAACTGCAAGAACATTATAAGCAATCTCTCTACTTCCACTCTTGCCACCTCCTCTGCAAGGCAGAAAGCAGCCTTCCTAGCACTTTGAAAACATCAACCAAATCACATCACTTCTCTGTTCAATATCCTCTATAACTTTCCATTCCCTCAGAGAAACATCCAAAGTCTTTGCCATGGCCCTGGAGGCTCTCGTGAACTTACGTCTTACCACCTTTCTGATGCCTTCTCCCACTCATCCTTTGCCTCTGTTGAAGCCATACTGAATTATTTGCCATTTCTTGAACACCTGAGCATTTGCATTTGCCCCTGTTGGACTGTTCTTCCCCTACATATATCTGTGGCTCACTTCCTCACTGCCTACAGGGGGTCTGCTCCTTAAAAATAATCCATAAAATAATATCAAAAAGTCAACAACAACAACAAACCCACAACAAAAAGGAAACTTCACTCTCTACTCCCCTTACTCTTTATTATGCTTCTAGCACTCTTCATTAGCATGTTATATATGCATCTATTTATTTCCTGTCTCTTCTCTTCAACTAAGAGCCTTTGAGGGCTCTTAATTTTGTGAGGATCACTGCAGTGTCCCAATCTTTAGAACTGAGCCTGGTGTATAGCACACACTCAGTAAACACTTATAGAATAAATAAATGGGTATAATTCATCCAATCAGAGTTCAAAGAAGTGATGAACTTTTTGTCAGCCACTTAATGAAGGATGTTCATATTCATATTATGGCTTTGAAAACTAACAAGAATTCACTATACATAGTGTGCTCTGATATTCCGGGGAAGACAAGTAGAATCATTATTTGCATATTAGTTATTCAAGGGAAGCCTTCACAAACACTTGGAATGGGAGCTGCGTCTGGTAAGGAAATGTCGACAAAAGGAAGGTTGAACGCCTGGATCACTGCTCTTTTAATCAGTAGGTCCCATGGCCTAAAGGAATACATATGTTTCCGTTGTGGGGGTTCTTTTGGGCAGGATGAGGTAGAGTTGAACATTTCCATTGGTATTACTGGCCATAATAAAGATTTTTGACCCTGAAGGCCAGTATGCAGGATCTTTGGGGGGTTCCCTAAACTGGAAGGAGAAAAGTTGGGATATTTGTTAGCAGCATCAATTACCAAAGGCCCAATGGAGTTCTGTGACTATTGATAAGCTATTAAAAATTTCATCAAATTAATTTGATGAGGCCTGGCAGACAGCAGTGAACAGGACAGACAAAAGTCCCTGTCTTCACAAACTTACAGAAAATAGCAAAAAATAATAATAATAATTAAAATATATACTATAAGTGTTATAAAAACAAAGAAATCAAGTAAGGAGGAGAGGAACTAAGGGAATAAGAAATAGGTTGACATTTTACACAAGAATTGTGTTTTGAGCAAAGAATAAAATGAAGTAAGCGATGGGGATGGGTACAAAGCTATACAGACATCCTGGGGAACAGCCTTCTAGTCAAGGGGTCAGCCAGCACAATGTTCTGTGAGTTGATTGAGGGAAATGTGCCCAGGGTGTTAACTGTTCTAGCAAGAACCAGAAGAACAGTGTTAGATGGGGAAGAGTAAGCAAGGAGTAAGGAAATAGCAAATTGGTATTTGAAGTGTAAGGAGGGCCTGGGTAAAGATTTTTGTTCCCAGGCAGATGGAAAGCCACTAGAGGGTGGGCTCGGGAGCAGGGGGATGATATGATCTGACGTACATTTGACTGTGCTCACTCTGGGGATTTTATAGAGAATAGACTGAAAGATTCCAGGGCAAACACAGGGAGAGTAAAAATTAGGGGTTCACAGAAATAATCTAGATGAGAGGTGACAGCCGATTGTTGGGTACAAGGCCCAAGGGGAGACCCTAAGAGTACATTAACTTTTCACCCTGACAAAATAAGTCTCCTGACTCCCAGGCTGAGCAGGGCAGATGCGTACCTTGCATCTTGATTTCCCCTGGAAGTTTGATGTAAAATGCATAGAAAGTCAGAATACTTATGAGAGGGAAATAGTCCCAAATGTAATAAAAAGTAAAATAAATTGTTACATGTATTCAAAACCTGCTTCTCAGTTAAACACTTTCCTCCCTTCTCCCAGAATACTATTAAATATTTTCCTAGAAGCTTTCTCACACTTTATAAAGATAGATTCAATCACCCTAATGATACCAATATTTTGCTGTCTCCATTTTATTCCCAAGAATCCCCAAACTGAGAATTCATCTACATATACTAATTTATACTACATAGTCTTATACAAAGATTTATTCGTATTTTTTTTCAGCCACTAAGCTTTAAAGTATATGGTTGTCTTTAATATGATCCTACTTAAGGGGATGAGCCTTTAATCCAGACACTAACTTACTCTGCCTTCCTGCCTGTAACATCTAACATCAGGCTGGCGCACCGCAAAATAACCGCACTTCAGGTTGCCTGGCAGTGCGTCTGTGCTCCTAGGCAGTGCTTGTCATCAGCAACCCCAGCTCTGCTCTCAGTCATATCTAGATTGCTTCTCACTCACTGACCCCTCACTTGGC